CCAATTCTCATCTCACTCAAAGTGCCATCAGGTATCCCTCTTCACCGTGCATGCCAGGAATCTTTGGGCAGTTCTTTTAAAACTGATTATTGGTAGAATTATATTCTCCTTATGATTTTTTAAATCATTCTTTTAGGCTTTAATTTCTCATATATGTATGTGTGTTTGTATGCACCTAAATGTGCTTGTGTAATAGAAACATGATTTTTAAAGTATTAAGAAGTACTCTTTAAAGTTAAGGTGAGATATTATGTGTTTGCCAAACTAAGAAAAGCAGCACATCCCCACTAGGCCTTCCTTCAGCCTGGGAGAGAGAATGCAGAAGCCACCCTGGCTAGACAGAAAAGACCTGAAGGGAATCTCAGCTACATCACTGGGTTTTAACTGGCTCAAAAGGCCCATTTGTTGCCTGGTGACAAATTTATGCTCACTATTCCAACATCATTTAGGCCACGCATAATTATCTTACTAAGGAAGCAAAATTATGACTCTAGGACTTCCCGAAGCATGACAAAACAATTTTAAGTCGTATTTCCATAGCATAAAGTTACTTTCTCCAAGGGTAGTACAAACACTAAAATAAATAGCCACTGTGAGTAATTCTGACTTCTTTTCATATTTGAACTGAACCAGAATGATTAAAATTCACTAGATAAATTGATTGCCAATTTAGGCTGTTTTTCTCAGCAGGCTTCCAAATTCTCTAAGACTAGCTCTTTCAGGAAGCCTTACTGCTGCCTTCAAAACTCCTTCAGAGACAAATTATTTCCTGATTTGTTAGAAATTAAAGCCGAAAAAAACGGTTCCTTGCTCTCTCAGGTTAATGGGTTATAGTACCATTTATACAAACTGGGCATCAAACAGTTAAACCACACAGTCCAGGGTGAAGCCAGGCAACACCCCAGTTCCCAGCACGAAGCCATGGCACTCTCCTGGTGCTGTGGGAGATGCTGAGAGAGAGACAGGAAACAACCTTGGAGACAGGTGTGCTTGATTAATGGGTGGGGACAGAGGGCTGCTGTCTAGAGCTCCCTAACGTTACAAACCACGATCAGCTCCTCTCACCACTAGAACAGCACAGAAAAAGGGGGCGAACAGAGGGGCACAGTAGGAAGCGACACCCTGCTCACAGTGATGACAGTAGCAGAAGCAGAGGCCTCTGAGTTATATGGGTTTTATTAGAAAAATAAACTGAAATACGTAGTTGAATCCTTTCTCGAGGAATACCATTTCTTTGCACAGCAGACATAACATCTGAGTATTTTCAGAACGTGCCCTCTAATACTAGAACGAAAGTACAGCATCAGCCCAGTAGAAAATATTGGATCACAAGCAGAATGAAGAAACCATGGAAATAAAACAAGGACCAAGAAGGAGATACTTCCCTAACCACTCAAAATGAGGCGAGATTAGTAAATAGTATGAACGCCAGGACAGCAGCACAAGTTAAGCATATATGTGTATTTACAATTTCCTGGATGCATACGTACATGTCTGCACACACACGTGCACACAGACACACACAACACAAACACAAGGTGCCTTCTTCTTCAACTAACCCCTTCTGCCAGTCTGCTAAAGTCTTTAAGGTAAAACAGTAGAAACAACTGGAACACGGATTAACGCAACTAACCTTCATTCACTCCCCTGATGCCCGGTCAGCTAATGGGCTTTACCTAGAGATCAGAGGGCATCAAGGCCTTATACTAGCTAAAAAGTTCATGAGGATTAACGCAGCCAAGTTGGGCCAAGAACATTAGTCGGCTGCTTCTGTTACATCAGGTTCTTTCTCCTCTGACACATGATCTTCCAGATTTAAAGAATTACTGCAAAACCAAATAATCTCCACAATGACAGACTGTCTAAACCCCACTGATCATATTTAAATAGGACTTCACCTCACTATTTAAAAACTTGAAATCACTTATATTTTCAAACAATTGAAACTGCACATGTCCTAGATAATTCTCCGCTTGATTCAAGAAATCTTCTTTCCAGATTACCATTTCTGAACTATAATTTACCCCCCCCAACACACACACACAAAATCAAAGATTTTTCTGAAAGGTTTATTGTCTCTCTATCCAAGGAAGGGCTCTCATTTCACACCTCCTAACACTTAAGAATTCTAATAATCACTATGGACCAAATGGATGTATACACACACACACACACACACACACACACATATGTACACACAAATATGTAAGTTACAACACTCTTTTTAGTGTGCACAAAACACACTTTATGTGCAGACATCATAGCTTTTAGTGGAGCAGTTTGTTTTATAACTATTTAAATTAACTGCATGGTATTGATACTATAAGGCTCCTTGTTAAAGGGTACAATTTTTTAAATCTATTAAATTAATACAATTGTCCTGGGAAAACCAAAATTTCCCTCTTCACAAACACACAATGAAAAACAACTCTTCTAAAAATATGGAGGACACTGAAGGTTGTTTTTCCGTTTTGCTTTTGCACTGAATCCCAAACACTGTAAGTAATGACCACAGTTGTTACCATCCATGAAGTGCTAAGAGAAACCAAGTTTTATCTACCTTTAAAGTGGATCTTAGTTAACACTGCTCATCACAGTTAAAGAGGATAAAAATCAGCTTAAGACTATAGGGACACGACTTCCGTACGGTGTTAAATATGTCAAAGCAACCAAACAGCTTTCAAAATAAACAATAAACGTATTTTATAACTTACACTTTTTAAAAAATTTATCTCAGGAATAACACCAACATCCAAAGTTTCTTCTTATAACTGCTAAAAAGCTGTTCAACTTTTTACATTCCAATTAATTATAAAATCAATGAGAGTCAAATAAAATAATCCTCAAGTATTTTTGATCTGTATAAAACTATGAACAATTATTTAAATTCAATCCCAAAATGTTTATTAAAATATCACTGTACTTATCAAAGACAGTAGCAATCATTCAACCCCTCACTCTCCCAAGATCCAAATATTCTAATAGTCTTCAGGCATTATTAGTACTTACAGAGTCATTCCTCTATAACTCTTACTAGGTAGAAATTTGCCATATGCTTTTTGGTCATTTACATTGTAGAAAAAGCATTTTTGTCACCCTATAAAAAATCCTTGACATTAGTCACTGAAATCCATGTAACTTTTTTTCCTTTCCGCAGTTCTTAATAAAGTGCCCTATTATATCTGTGCCAGATAGCAACAGCTCAAACAGAATTATAAACAGTCTGGAAACTACAAGTTTGAACCAATGTTTTCTAGTAGACAATACTATTAACTTACACAAAGTTCTTAATAATTTTAGTAAAATAACAGATCTCATGTTGGTTATGGATTGACAATCAATCCAACTTCTTTTTTGTAAGGTATCAAAGAGACTGGAAGGATGAGAGACATTGGAAACATTAAATTACAACTCTTATTTGGTGCATTTAAGCAAAAACCAGATAGTCCTCCAAAGCTATAGGTTGTTAATGCATAGAATTAAGATAATTGTTATTTTAAGTTGTTGGCTTATTTCATCTTCTTACTTCTGGTACATTAAGCAAGAAAAGCCTAAATCATGTGAATTTTTAATAAGGAAATAAGCTCGTATTGAGTAACTGAAACTTCTTCAGAGATAGCAACATCAATGTGTTTTCTTTACCAGAAATGTGTTTTTTGCTCAGAATTTTTGGCAACCAAAAAAATATCAGAATAAGTACAATATACTCACATTCAGATGTAATATAAATATTGCTTACCTCAGTCAAGTGTGGTGTAGGGTTAAATCCACAGAGATTACACACTTGGTTCTTGCATTCGGTGCAAGTGCTGAAGTTAGGAGGGTCCTTGGAACCTACGTTGAGTTCAGTTTTGCAGAGAGGACAGGCTGATTCTGGTCTGGGGATTTCTTCCAGTTTGGGGGGAAGAGCAGCCTTTTCAGGCACAGCTGCTGGAGGTTTGCTGTCCTTAGAAGGCAGAGGTTTCTTTTCTGGTTCTGTTCTTTTTACTGTTGAAACTTGCTCAGCTTTGGGCTCTACCTTCTCGGCTCCTGGAGGTTTAGCTTCCTTTTTCACTGGTATAGCCTTTGCAGGTGCTGGTGGGGCCTGGCCTGTGGATTTGGGCGGCCCCTGAGAAGTGGGTGGCTGGGAAGGAGAAGGGACTTGTTTTGCCAGGGCCGCTGGACCACTCTGCGCGTGAGATCCAGGCTGGCCTGCTGTGGAGATCAGACTGGATGCCTGGCTGAAGATGGATGCTCCAAACCCAAAGAGTTTCCCTGTCACAGTTTCTTGAGGAGTTGTGGGCTGTGATTTAGGCGCATCAGTAATACTTCCCAGATTCAGACTAAAACGTCTTGACTGCTCCTGAGGCTTTGCGGGCTGTGGAGACGGGGGGGCAGGTTGGCCAGCGGAAGGTCGTGGACCTTGGGGTGTCGGTGACCCCTTTGGCATCAGCTTGGCATCTGGCTTAGGACTCGTTTTGGTTTGTGCTTTCTTGGGTTCTTCTCTCTTTTGAATGGGATCAACTTGTTTTTGGCCTTTACCCTCTGAACTAGGCCCAGGATGTGAAATAATTTTTGAATCTGATGCAGGTCGAGGTATGACTTTAGAGTCAAATGGGGTGACTTTTTCTCCTGTCGGCGGAAAACTCTGTGAGGGTTTGGCAGCGTCCGGTTTTAGCGGAGGAGTTATCTTCTCTTGATCCTGGGGTGGTACTTTGGAGCTCGGAATACCAGGTTTTGCTGCTGTTGATAAAGACACCGTGTCTGTGGCTGGCTTTACTGTCTTGGGCTGCTTTGGTTTATCATCAGCCACGGAGACCTCGGCCTGTTCAGATGGGACAGAGGGCCCTTTGGGAGGCGCCGGCTTGGATGAGGGCTCTGCCACGAGAGGCTGCTGGGCTGGGACTGGCAGGGGGCCGGGGAAGGTTGGCTGTCTCACTAGCGGTGGGGGCTTTTTAGCCTCGGGTGCCTTTGAGATATCCTGTCTGGGGGTAGCATCCTTCTTTGGAGAAATCTGCTGTGACTGTGGAGAAGGTTTGCTCACTGCTGATGCAGGAACAGGGGCAGTCTTCGGTTTGGGCTGTGGTGAGGATGGAACTGGAGCCAGATCACCTCCGAGAGCTCTTTGCATCTGACAGTTTAAACAGAGCCACTCTTTAACCTAGAAATAGTATGAAATAATGGTCACTGAGACATTAACAATGTAAAAATAAGTACATTTTTAAAAATGCATGGTACCTTTTGAAATTCTCTCTCTCATCACTCAAAACAAAATATAGATCAAGTTATTTTACTTTATATACATATTTTATTTTAAATTTATATTGAAGTATTAAAATGATAAGTACATTAAAATATGAGTCTCAGAAGCTTAAGTGCTCTATATTTTAAGAAAAATAAAAATCAACAGAGATTGTATTTCTCTTCTGATGTTAATTTTCTTATTCTTTGCCTTTCATTTACTCCAAGTTTGATTATTCCTAGAAATAGAAAACCCTGTAAGACAGAAAATAAATGATAACTTATTAGAGTCCACAAATCAGTTATGTTAGATACTTTCTCTACTGATGGCTCATGAAGTTTTTAGTTATACAGCTCATCATAAGCTTGTCAAATTATTAACACCTTGCTAATTTCTTAAATTAGCAAGAGTATTACTTCTCCCTCCTAGGCGACATAATCAAATGTGAGAAAACAAAACTATTTCTTTATTCAAATATTTATTGAGCAACTTCTACTTAGCACATCCCACTGTATAAAGGAGTCAAAAATCTCTGTCCTTATGGAGACTACACTACAGAAGAAGCAAGTGAAAGCATAATGTGATTTCAAGGATAATATATAAAATAAGTATCTGATGATGATACTGTGATGAGTCATTTTTTTCTTATCTTCCTCCAAGTTCTCCCTCAAGTGCCCCCCTCCAATTTCTTGGATGCATTTGGTTTTATCAGTAAGATTTTAAGTCTCTCTATAATATGAACACTGGAGTTTCACACACAGCTAGCCAGTAGGCTCTCACTCCATCTTTGGACGACTGCAAAATGAGAACACTCCCACGGCTTACCTAATGTACGATTTACATCAACATCAGGACACACGTTCTACACTGTCCTCATTCCAGTACCAAATGTCTCCTTGTAGTTTCTGTAGGAATGTATATGACATAGGTCACTGCATCTTCATAGGGGCACAACGTGCTTTCTCTTACGACATTCTGTTTTTGAACAGACTCCACTGGCCCATCTTTTGTTCTTTTCATGACTACATTTTTCTCACTTTGATAAATAACACATGAAAGACATTTAATCCCTCAATGTTGCTCCTCACAGTGAGAACACAGGTTAAAATCACTGTCTATAGCTTTCACAATATGAAAAGCTTTTTATCCTCTTAGGATTTTTCAGAAACAGCTTCCTTTTTATTTAATTCTACTGGCCAGATATGTTGAAAATAGAAATGAGTATTATCTCAGAATTTAATCTACCACTGAATGCAGCATTTCCAAAATCTTGATTCAGGTGGGAAAAAAAAAGACCTTCCTATACATTGAGAAAATGAAAAAGTCCACAGCCCGCCCTGACATTAACATCACGAACTACAATCTCCTTTTCCACGATGCACTGTGGGAGAGTAACGAGGAGTAATAGCACCTTTGCCCTCTTGGTCATCTGCCTTAGAATTCCTGTAATATTTTTAGTGCACTGTGGCTTATTCCTCAAGTGTGTCTGCATTGCTTATGAAAGATGACTTCCCATCCATTCGTTCTCATCTCCAAACCACTGTCCCCCATCTGACCTCTGTCATTTTTCAAATATTTTATACGTCTATTAAATATAACCTGTTTACAACAAACCACCACAGAAAAGCCTGACTCTACTTCCCTTCGAAACTCAGTATCTCTCCAATAACTGTGAAATAAAGTTCATTTTTTGCAAGAAAATAAAAATATATCATTTTGTTAGAGTTCTTAAGCTAGCACTGATACAATTCTGCTTATCTCCAGGTCTACATTCCCCCGAAGACTGTAAGCAACACACAATGAGGACTTCCTGGTATAGTCTGACCCTTTAATCATTTAGATGTTCACAAATATTTTTTGAGCTGGTTTGAAGTAATTAATTAAAATGTCTATGCTCTTCAAGCTACAGCATTTCTGTGTTTATTCTGTGAATCCCCACTGTTTACCAAGCCAGCATGACAGGCTTCTGCCTTGATTTTCTGGTTGTACACAATTCTCCTTACTCTATACCTCTGGCCAGGGACCATCCATCCCCATTTTGATTCAAAATGAAGGAGCCCCATAATTACCACACCGGCTAACCATACGTATTTTCACTGCTTGGAGACAATCACTGTCTTGTTTCACTTCTACAATCAAATGTTCATCTCTAACCCTGAGCAGAGATGAGCCTGAGCTGACTATCATCACTGCCTCAGACGGCTGCTGCCAGTTCCATTTGGTACCCATGTCTCTAATACAGCTGGCTCCCCTGGTTCTGCATGATGGGGTCTTCATTCCACTACAGCTATGAATGAGGATCTCAGAAGAGCTTAGTCTTTATCACTTCTTTCCTATGCTATAGAAGTCAGATGATAGCCAAAGCCAAGTCTAATTCTGAGAAGACTTCCACCAATGTTTCATAAACTCCCCAAGTCTCCTGACACAACTAGCGTGCATTCCCTAAGATTTTAAGTCTCTCTGTAACGTGAACACTGGAGTTTTCTAATCATCCACATCCATTTGATTAACAATGGGAGAAATACAAGAAACAATACCAGGAGAGCCTGCAACTTTATCATCCGGTCCTGCAAGGACCCTGACTTTCACTACACAAGCAATGAAACCAAAGATACTGTGTTACATAAATATATCATGCCTTAACTATCCCTACACTCTAGATTTTATATAATAAGGGAAAAACAGTCATCCTTTGCTTTCTCTACCTATAGCTTTACTTACACAAAGTACATAAATGAAATTCAGAATCTGGAGACAGTTGTTTAAATGAGCTACTCTAATTCAATCAACTCTATGGAAAGGAACAAAACAAAGGCATAAACTGACTGCTCGTCAGTCTTCTGACTTAATATGCTACACAAATGGGGGTAAGAGAGTAGTCAGCCAGCATTTCTGCTCATTCTGAGGTCCCTGTGTATTCTAATGTAGACCTGCATATAATTACTAACACACCTCCCAGTTTAATCCAATCCCCAGGGTTCCCTTCTGTTGAGCCTTTGTTATTCATCTGAGCTGAGTCACGTGAAATAATGAAGGTCTAGTAATAGAACTTCATAGGCTAAGGCTTTTGCTGGATAATCATAAATGTCTTATTAAATGTTTCAAGGGGTAGCACTTGAAAATTTCATTGTGAATTTCACATAAAGTTTCAATTATTGGCACCGCTTTCTAAAAAAGTATTAGAATCATTGATCACTGAAAAATTAGACTCTGACATTTAAGAGTACTTCTTTACTGGATAAAGAAATTGTGGTATATATATGAAATGGAATAGTACTCAGCCATAAAAAGAATAAAATAATGTTATTTGCTGCAACATGTATGGACCTGGGGAATCATCATTCTAACTGAAGTAAGCCAGAAAGAGAAAGACAAATACCATATGATATCACTTATATGTGGAATCCTACAAAAAAAAAAAAGACACAAATGAATTTATTTATAAAACAGAAACAGACTCACACACAAAGAAAACAAGGTTATGCTTACCAAGGGGAAAAGAGGGTGGGAAGGAATAAATTGGGAGACCTGAGATTTACAGGTACTAATTACTATATCAAAAATAGATAAACAACAAATTTCTACTGTATAGCACAGGGAAATATATTCAATATCTTGTAGTAACCTAGAATGAAAAAGAATATGAAAACGAATATATGTGTATATGTAGACTGAAACTTTACGCTGTACACCAGAAATTGACACAACACTGTAAACTGACTCTACTTCAATAAAGAGAGTATGTCTTTAATAATAAGTCAAGATAATCAATACATCTAAGCAATAAGGCGAGTTGGCAAATTTTGGGGTCCAAAATAAAAGCATATTCCTGCTTCGAACTGTTATTAATCGATTTAGCTTCAAAAGAGAATGTAAACCTCCAGAAGGATAATGACTAACATCCACTCTTCAGTGTGCTCCAAAGTGAAAATTTTAAACACAAAATCTACAGAAGTTGTATAATGGAGTCTCTGCTCAACAACATAGCACAGTACTAGGAATAATGGAACATCTAAAGAACAAACACCATGTTAGAGATTTACATTTGCTGGGGTTCATACCATTCACATTAGCTAAGTACATTTTCTTTAATCATACAGTCATCCTATCCTTGTATGATAAATCTATAGGGTTCTTACTTCTTGATGCATCACAACTAAACTTTTCTGCAAACCATTACATCTAAATGTACCATTTACTCCATGGAGGCAGTTTTCACATTTTCTCTTACCTGAGTCATGATTTGAAATCCAATTTGTATTCCTCTTCCACTTACCTAAATACTACCTATCTTTTATGGTCCACAAAGACCTTCCTCCTTCACCACTTAGTATTCCATTATCAATTAAGGTCCGTCCCTTTGCAACCATTACTCCTATAGTTTGAACCACAGCACTTCAACTCAAATAGATAAGGCTTCAAATTTTTTCCAATTATTTCCTCTCTTCTCTCCTCATACACACTCATAAAAAGAGCAAACACTTCCTATTACTCTTACCTCTGTATTAGATACCAAGTAAACTTTAGATATTATTTAATGATGAATTATTCGAAATTTTTCCCATTTCTCATCAAATTTCTTCAAATACTGAATGTATTATCTGTATCATATTATTCATATTATTTCAAATGTCATAGAAAATATAATTAAATAATACATATTGGATAACAATGTGTAATACCATAAACAGAAACTCAAGCTAAAGTTTGATAAGACTATGCTTTCTGCTATTCAAGGAATGTCCAAACCACGTGACCTCCTCCACAGAGGCAGCTACTCGCTGACAGCAGCTTGGCTGCAGATGGCTCACTGCAGTTGACATCTTCAGCTGTGCATATTAATGCACAATTTATTTTGGTTAAAAACTAGACACTAGCACTTCTCAGGACTCTTACGACATGCTCAGCAACTTGGTGAA